GAGGGTCGGCGCCGAGGGGAGCGGGCGCCGTCGGAGGGTCGGCGCCGTCAACATGTGGCGCCTTGTGGCATCTTGCTGCGCACACTATGAAACTGAAACTCGAAAGGGGTGCCTTGAGACCTGGACTGGCATCTTACAGGGATGCTTAAGCTGGGGATGGTCTGTCCCACTCTTGCCCCCACCCTCCCCGCAACCACCTCCCTCCCACCCCCCTCCCCAGCTCTCCCCCTCCAACACACACTGGTCTGGGAAACGTCCTACTGCACCCCACCACCTGTCATCTCCTGAGGGACACAAGGGAGGGTAACCAACTGGACTTGCCGCTTCATTATTGCCATCTCCCCCAACTCCCCAACACCCCCTCCAAATCCAGCAGCGCAATGAGAGTCTCTCTCTCGTTGACCCCAGGGAAAGAGGGGGAGAATCAGGAATATTGACAACTATTCCCAAAATGTCAAGCCTTGGGAGGGCTTGACAACCTTTGGGTGCTTCGTCAGGCTTCTCAGGCCCTTGACAACCCCTAGGCCCAAGGCAGATTTCCCACTCCCCCTGGCGAGGAGGCACATTTACGCCTCAATCCGAGGGTGAGTCCCAATGCCCAGGGGGAGGGTGACATGGCTCAGTCCCTCGGAGAGCGACGCTTGCCCAGAGCTAACTGCTCCCACGCCACGGCCTCCCGGCACCACCATCCCCAGGCCCGGTGTGAAGGCTGCTCACATCAAGGCCTCAAAAGGCAGAGTTTACCATTAAACGGGGCGTGGGGTGGAGGGGAGAGCTTCACTGGAACCGGGGGGAGTGAGGGAGAGGGTGGAGGGGGGAGGAGAGAGGAGGAGGGGGGGGGGGGGGGGCCGTTCACTCACTCCCTCCCTCTCCCTGCCCTGTCCCCCCCTCTCTCTTTCTCTATCCCTCCTCCTCCATCCCTCCTTCCCATCCTCCCACTGTACTCTCCCTTGTTCCTGTCCTACCCCTCCCCATCCTCTCCCTCTCCTATTCTCCTCCACCTGCCCCTCGCCCCCTCCCCATCCCCCGTCCCTCCCCATACCCCGTCCCCCTCCCCCTTACCAGGCCTCCCGGAATTTTTTGAGGACGCTCGGCCTCTCGAGGTTGCGTCTTCGCCGGAACCATCGCTCCACTTGCCGGGGGCTCAGGCCGCATTTCTTGGAGAGACCCTCGATGTCGCTCTGAGAGAGACCACACCCATCACAACCACAGCCCCCACGGAGGCTATTCGGCCCAGACAGCCCATGCTGGCTCTACGAAAGAACTGTCCCATTAGCACCGCCCTCCCCCCACTCCACCACTGCTCTCTGCAAACCTCACCCACAACCCCTGAAAATCCTACCCACCCCACGCTCTTCTCCCCCGGCCCCCCCCCCCGCCCCCGCCCCCCCCACTCCCCCCCAACCTCGCCAGCTTTGTCTCTCAAACACTGCAGGATAGGAGGCCACCCTTCCCATCATGCCTCTGTTGGGAGCTCTACTACCATTTCCCCCAACCCATGGACCTCGCCAATCTTTACCCCTTTCCAGTCTCTCTCCCATTCCCCTTCTTTAGTACATCCATCCCAGATTCTACCCGCCGTGTCTCTCTCTCTCTCCTCCCCCCTCTCCATCCACCCCCCCCCCCCCCCCCTCTCCCTGCCTCTCCCCTTCCCTCCACCCACTCTCTTCCCCACCCCCCCTTCCCCCCGCACACAAACTGACCAGGCACCGTTTTGAGAAAATTTCACTCAGCACCCTCTCCCCCCACCCCCTCACCACATTGAGCTTTCCAGAGGAGATAGGGGGTGCGGGCAAAATAGATTCCGAGGGGGAAACAGACACAGAAGGTTCAATAACCCCTCGATTTCCTTCCTGTTTAGGAAATCTCTCCATCTCAGCCTTCAATACCCTTAAAGATCCAGCCCCAACAGCCGTCTGTGAATCCCACAGATTCCCCTCCCTTTGGAGGGAGAAGAAATTCCTCCCCATCTCTGTCTTCAATGGGCGACCCCCTCATGCCGAGATGACGCCCCTCCGGTCCCAGACTCTCCCACACAAGGAGGGGAAACACCCTCCCCACATCTCCCCTCAATTTCCCCCTAAGAATCTTCAATGAGGTCACCTCTTAAATCTTCCACTCCCAGCGAGTACAGGCCCTAATCTACTCAACCTCTCCCTCATCAGACAGTCCCTCCATCCCCGGGATCAGCCGAGCGAACCTTCCTGGGCCTGACTCCAACACGCAGTCTATCATTTCTTGGATACAGGGCCCCAAAACTGCTCAGATTTTTCTGGCCGTGGTCTGACTAGAGCCTTGTGAGGTTTTAGCAAAACCTCCCGACTTTTATACTCCATTCCCTTCGACATAAAGGCCAGCGTTCCATTTGCTGTTCCCCACTACACCCATCCCACCACCCCGCAAACATGGGGATGTCGGCTTTCTGTAATTCACAGACGAAGGTTCCCAAATTCCCTCTGAGCCATGGCATTCTGCAGTCTTTCTCCATTTAAATGATGAAACAGAGGGCTGAGCGAGTGGGAAGACGTTGGACCTACCTGTCTGGGGTGCTTTGAGGAAGCTCTGAAAGATTTTTCTAGAATCGGGTTGGGTTTTACTCTTAACCGCACTTTCTCCTTAATGCCCAGGACCCGTGCGAAATATGTGGCGACGGACCTACAGAAGGTGAGAGACTCTGAGTTAGCGATCGTCCGACAGGGAGCAGACGGAAGCTTCTGGAACAAGAGCCACGGGAGGACGGATACCTTTTGGGGTGGGGAGAGATACTAAAGGGTCAGCCAAAAGGGGAAAAAATAAAACGACAAGGTAGGGTCTTACGGTTCATGTCCCTACCTCTGGGCCTAAACAGCAGCATTTCAGGCCTAACTCAGGCCTCAGAAGTGACGTAATAATGCGGCCAAAACGGGTTTTAAAGGAAATTGGATTTTTTTGGGGGAAACAAAACTATCGGGAACCAACTGCAACCCTCCAATTAGGTGTCAGCAGTGGCCCCCTCGCCAACAGCGGCCATTTTCTCCCTCCCTGCCGCCAACCCACTAAAGCCAGGATGCACTCACATCCGATGGGCCCCTGTTCCTTCACGGCACCCCCCCCCACCCCCCAACCAATCCTCGGCACTTTCCCAATCCCGACTTTCTCTTGGCAGGGGCCTCCAGGCGCGCCGAGATCCCCGTTTTGAGGGGGCTCCGGTCCACCCCACACACGCACATAAACACACTCCGCTCCCACCCTCCCCCAAGCCAGGCCCCCAGTCCAGAAGCAGCAGCCTGAGTCTGTGAGGCTGGGCTGGAGGGAGGACGCGGTTTTGGAGGGGGGGTGGGTGGAAGGGGGGGCAGGTGGGGTTGTGTAGTGGGGGGAGCTAAAACCGGAGGATTCTATTTTCCACCCAGGGAGCCAAGTTGAGACCCATCGACTCCGTTCCCAGTCCTGCCCAGGGCCTACAGGGAGTCTGAGGCGTCTGAAGGCCTGGGGTTGGGTGGGGGTGGGAAATAAATGTCACGAAGGAGCCCACCCTCAGGACAACCGATTTTGCACCCGGTTAACAGTCAACGGAAAGCAGGCTTTGTCATCAACGGACCCTCCCCTCCCCCATCACCCAGGTTGTCCAAATTAGGCCCGAGGCTTCAGAGGTTAAAGGCCCAGTTCGAGGACGGGGAGGGAGGCCCGAACACACAGGCCGTTCTCCCCGACTGACCCAGGACCCGAGGCAACCCAACCTCCCCAACTTCTCCCTCAGCCTCCCTCCCCTCCTGCCGAAGGGACCCGGCCTGTCGGGCCCGGGGCTGGCTGGCTCACCTCTCGAAGAGATAGCGGATGATCATGAAGGCAAAGGCGCACGGTATGGTGACATACAGGTCGCTGGCTTTGGCGTAGATCCGCCCATCTCGGTCTTCCAAGTCTGTCCAGGTCAGGTTGTACGGCAGCCAGAGGCGATCCCACCAGAACCAATCATATATCGTCTGGAACATCCTACCGAGGGAGGTAAATTGGTGGGGGGGGGGGGGGGGGGGAAGAGAAGGGATTGGGAAGGGGGTTGCTATTAGTTAAGAAATGAAGAAGCCATCCTCAAAACTAGGCCCGGTTCGCGACACGGTGGCCAAACTAATAACCACTCTCAGGGGCCGTTTGGCCTATCGACTCCCTGCTGGACCCCTTTGTTTCGAGCGATACAACCAACCCCATGCCCCACCCCACAAACACAGTATGCCTTTCTCCCATCCCCGGAACTGTTCTGATCAATCTTTGGTGGTTGGGATGGGCGGGGGGAGGTGGTACAGTGGCTCAGCGGTTAGCGCCGCTGCCTCACGGCGCCAGGGATCCGGGTTCGATTCCAGCCTCGGAGCAACTGTCTGTGTGGAGTTCGCATGTTCTCTCCCCGTGTCTGTGTGGGTTTCCTCACTGCAATCCACACACACACACACACACACACACACATGCGCGCACGTTCAAGATGGTGGCTCACTCACATCCACTCTCTCAAGGTGGGACGTGGGGGCTGCAAATAGAGACAGACAGCATCTAGTGACACCCCTATCCCGTCAGCGAATTCAAACAAAGAGGTGTGACGTTGAGTGGTCGACGTATTCGCAATGGAGGATCGACTCTAGCAAAATCTACCAAAGCCATCTCCTCTCTCTCCCCGAGGGGAGCGAATCCCAGGAATTCTTTACCGCAGGCTGTTGAGGCCGGGTGGTTAAGGGTATTGAAGGCTGAGACGGAGAGATTTTTAATCAGGAAAGGGAAATCGAGGGGTTACAGGAGGGAGAAGGGGAAACACCAGGACTCGGAGAGGGCACAGAAACGATTTACCAGGATGTTGCTTGGTTTTGGAGGGTATTAGCGATGAGGAGGGACTGGAAATGTGTCTTGACATCAACACTGGAGGCTGAGGGGGCGACTGGATAGAAATTGACAAAATTATGGCTTGGATAGAACAGACAGTCGGAAGGCAGAAATGGGACTAGATCAATTTTGGATTTCTGGGTTGGCGTGGACGAGTTGGACCGAAGGGTCTGTTTCCGTGCCGTACATCTCTAAATGTCAGTCACCAGGAGAGATAGGTTTGAGGCGAAAGGGGGAATAGTTTAAAAGGAGATGTGAGACGCAAGTTTTTTTCTTAAAAAAAAAGCGGGTGTTAACTGCCTGGAATGTGCTAACAGAAGAGCATTGCTGCCTCACAGCGCCAGGGACCTGGGTTCGATTCCACCCTCGGGCGTCTGTCTGTGTGGAGTTTGCACATTCGACCCCGTGTCCGCGTGGGTTTCCTTTGGCTGCTCCAGTTTCCTCCCATAGTCCAAAGATGTGCAGGTTAGGGTAGATTGGCCGTGCTAAATTGTCCCGTAGTGCCCAGGGATGTGCAGGTTAGGGTGGATTGGCCGTGCTAAATTGTCCCGTAGTGCCCAGGGATGTGCGGGTTAGGGTGGATTGGCCGTGCTA